AGCCAAACACACACCCCAGAGACACTGAGGGAGGGCTTCTCTACGCTGTTTCGGCTTGCTCACCAACCCTCCCATGATATGTGTGTTGGTTTTTTTCACCACAAATCCAAAAGCCAGACGTTGTAGGTCATGCAGGAGGTCTTTATTTTCAATAAAGAGGGTAACTGCAACCGGCATGGAGGGAAGGAGAGGCGATAAGAATAAGGGAAGAGGTACCTTTATAGCCTCCAGTGGGTATGGCGAGTGTGGGCTCAGGGATTGGCAGATGTGGCTTGTAGGTGGATACCAAGGATAAAGGTGGAGCACACGGTTTGAACCTAAAGGTCACCAAGATTACTGAGGCAAGTGGGACTTAATGGGGCTGAGACCTAGGGGATTTATGGCAGTGCTGGGTTAAGCATTCCAAGCATTCAAGGTGGCGCCCAGTCCAGGGTGGTGGGGTCAAGGGTCAGATCTCTAGGCCCCCATTCAAGTCATTCCTTACAGTGTGGACCCAGCCTCTTTGACAGCTCTCAGCCAGGAATGAGCAAGAAATCGAAGACCACAGCTTGGAAAGAAAGAGTCCTGTCACTTCCCCTTTGCTGTTGACACATCATGGGAGGTTTTTCACACTGACCTTAAAAAGACACCTTATTCCTGCTCTTCTCCTGCAGACACAGAGGGCAAAACTGGACATTTCTCTCACTCACCTTTTCCCTCACCCCTGCCTATGAGTCTACAGCCCCCTCCACTTTTGTAATAAATTTTAAAATAAAATTTTTAAATTACTAAAAAACAAAGCAAAAACAACCTAAACATTAAAAAAGGGAAAAAAATGGAATGTTTTCTCTTTGCAATGAAATGCTTCTGGCAGATATTTTCCTCCCGATTGCCTGGCCCCTGACCTCCTTCTCCAGGACGTGTACTCTCCAAGGGGAGAATTTGGGGTGGATTCTGATGAGGAGGCTGAAGCTCTGATCCCAGAGCATTATTCTTTCTCTGCATTATTAGGCATTATTCTAAAAGAAACTTGAAAGCCACTGGATGTTGTAGAGCTAGGGGGTAGTTTAACATCAAGGCAGTGTTTTTTAAAAGATCCATCTGGCAATAGAGATGAGTCATCTTAGCAGTGATTCAAAACTCGCCCAATTTACCTGGATACTTCTGTTCCACCAGTCTGTTCTAATCGGCCTTCCCAGAATTCATCATTATTTCTTGTTTTCATCATTCTGTTCTTTATATACCAGAAACAGAAATATTGTCTAAGTGCTTATTCCCTGCAAGGTCTTTAACCAAGCATCCTGTATACACTGTAGTACATATTACATGACATGATATCATATCTTGTCATTTCATATTGTATGATCTCTAATCATCCTGATATATTAGTGCATCATTATGTTTTATTGCATCATCTTTTTAAAAAAGATTTATTTATTTTAATTGAAAAGTCAGATATATATAGAAAGGAGGAGAGATAGAAATATCTTCCGTCCGAGGATTCACTCCCCAAGTGACCGCAATAGCCGGTGCTGCACCCATCTGAAGCCAAGAGCCAGGAATTTCTTCCAGGTTTCCCACATGGGTATAGGTTCCCAAGCTTTGGGCTGTCCTCGACTGTTTTCCCAGGCCACAAGCAGAGAGCTGGATGGAAAGCAGGGCTGCCGGGATTAGAACCGGCTCCCATATGGGATCTTGGTACGTTCAAGGCGAGGACTTCAGCCACTAGGCCACAGTCCCGGGCCATATTGCATCATCTTGAACTGTTCTACTTTATCCATTTAATTCTCAACATTGTGAACCCTTGAGCATGAGGTCCTAGTTCACCACTCTTCAATGTGATCTGTCTTCTACAGCTTACACTCTAAATGCACATAATTTTCTATTTTTGTTCACCTAAATGCTTTGACTTCCTCATTATGTGTAATCTTTTTTTTTAAAAAAAAAAGCTTTTTTCACCTGTGTAGGAACCTTAACATATTTTGCTTGATATTTCCATACTGAGAAAGTTACTTTGTACCTCTGAGTTTCAGTTTCCTCATTGATAAAACAGGAAGGAACACTTACCTTGTGAAGTAGTTTCGAGGATGACAGTAAAAATATATAGCTCAGGGACCAGCGTGTACTAAGTATGTGCATGCAATAGTTGAGTGTGATCTTTTTAGCGCTTCTTAAGGGCAAGTTTCTTACTCCCTTTTTTGCTCCTTGCACTTCAGTAAATACTCCTGCTACTGTAAAAGGGGAATCATTGTTACCAGGGAGAAGGCTGAAAGGATAGCAGAGACGTAAGCGGTGTCTGTTAGGCATGGGGGGCAGAGTGTGACTCAAAGGGAGACCATGGACATTCCCACAGTACAGGGCTCACTTGACCTGGCCACCTGACAGCTTCAAAGTGAGAAGGAGCTGGTCCCATGGCACAGTGGACAGCATTCTGTTCTCTGAAAGTAAGGAGAGAGGAATTTTTTTAAAAGATTTGTTTATTTTTATTGCAAAGTCAGATTTGCAGAGAGAAGGAGAAACAGAGAAAGATCTTCTGTCCCATGATTCACTCCCCAAGTGACTGCAAGGCCAGTGCTGCGCCGATCCAAAGCCAGAAGCCCAGATTCTCTTCTGGGTCTCCCACGTGGGTGCAGGGTCCCAAGACTTTGGGCCATCCTCAACTGCTTTTTCAGGGAGCTGGATGGGAAGCAGGGCTGCTTGGATTAGAACCAGTGCCCATATGGGATCCTGGCGCATTCAGAGAGAGGACTTTAACTGCTAGGCCACCGCGCTGGACGCAGGAGAGAAGCCCTGAAGCTCCAGAATGCGATCTGCTATCCACCGGGAACCTCCCTCAGCACTGTAGCGTAGATATTCCATAGGTACTCTGGGCCAGGAGATTAGGCAAACACTCCAGCTTCACAAGGGATTATTGCCTCTCTAGGGAAAGGATTTCAACAATCGTTTAGAAGTTGCCTCATTGATTTCAGAAACCTCTCCAAAAGGATCTTTTCAAAAGCATGTTTCTTTATTTTTAAAAAAAAAAAAAAAAAAGTCTCTTAGTTTGAAAGGTAGAAAGAGATTGACTTTCCATCTCTTGGTTCTCTTCTCACATTCCTAAAGGAACTGAGACTGAACAGTGTCCACATTGGTTGCCTGTGCTACATTTGGAGGCTTAACTTGCTAATCCATGCTGCAAGCCCCAAACAACACAATTTAAAATGAACTAAGAATCTGACTTTTTCTTAAAGAAGATATACAAATGTTTGGTTAAAAAAAAAAAAAGAAGAAGAAAGATGAGGACCCGGCACGTTAGCCTAGTGGTTAAAGTCCTCGCCTTGCATGTGTTGGGATCCCATATGGGTGTCAGTTCTAATCCCAGCGACCCTGCTACTCATCCAGCTCCCTGCTGTGGCCTGGGAAAGCAGTTGAGGACGGCCCAAAGCCTTGGATCTTGCACCCATGTGGGAAATTGGAAAGAAGCTCCTGGCTCATGACTGTGGATAGGCTCAGCTCCAGCCATTGTGCTCACTTGGGGAGTGAATCAACGGATGGAAGATCTTCCTCTGTCTCTTCCTCCCTGTTTATCTGGTTTTCCAATTAAAAAAAGAAAGAAAGAAAAGATGACCAAAATCATTTGTTATCAGAAAAATGCAAATCGAAACCATAGTGAATACCACTTTACATCTACTACGATGGTTACAATCAATAAGATAGACAATAAATAAGTGTTGGTGAAGATTTTAAGAGTTGGAACCATCATACATTGCTGACAGGATGTAAAATGGCATACCTGCTTTGAAAAACAATTTGACAGTTGTTCAAAAGTTAAACATGGAGTCACCCTATGCCTCAGCCATCCTACTCTTGGATATATATCCAAGACAAACGTTCTTGGCAACATTATTCATAATAGCTAAAAAGAGAAATAACTTAAGTTTCCATCAACTAACAAATGAACAACAAAATAAGACATTTATTTGGAATATTATTCAGCCACAAAAACGAATGAAGCAGGGACACGTGCTATTTCATGGCAGGTCTTAAAAAGTTACATTGTGAGGGCCCGGCGCGGTGGCGCAAGTGGTTAAAGGTCCTCGCCTTGCACCCCCGGGATCCCATATGGGCGCCGGTTCTAATCCCGGCAGCCCCACTTCCCTTCCAGCTCCCTGCTTGTGGCCTGGGAAAGCAGTCGAGGACGGCCCAAAGCTTTGGGAACCTGCACCCGCGTGGGAGACCTGGAAGAGGCTCCTGGCTTCGGATCGGCATAGTATCGGCCCGTTGCGCTCACTTGGGGAGTGAATCATCGGACGGAAGATCTTCCTCTCTGTCTCTCCTCTCTGTATATCCGCCTTTCCAATGAAAAAATAATAAAAATAAATCTTTAAAAAAAAAAAAAAGTTACATTGTGAGAGAAGGCAGTCACAAAGTTGCATACTGTGTGATTTATGTCGCATAACTAGAACAGGCAAATCCACAGAAACAGAAAGTTGGTTAGTGTTTGCCAGAGGCTGTGCAAAGAGCAGATCCATAGGGAATTAATAATAAGGATGGGATCGTTTGTTTTGCTTTTTAAATTCATTTATTTGTTTGAATAGGCAGAGTTACAGAGAGAGGGAGTGCTTCTATACACTGATTTACTCCCCAAATGGCCCCAATGGCCCCAATGGCCAGGTCTGGGTTGGGACAAAGCAAGGATCCAGAGAATTCTACCAGGTCTCCCATGTGGGTGTTGGGGCCCAAGCACTTGGGTCAATCTTCCGTTGCTTTTAGTGGTGCATTAGCAGGAGGCTGGATTGGAAGTGAAGTATCCGGTTCTTGAACCCAAAGTGCTGGGATGCCAGCACTTTAGGTATTAGCTGAAGCTAATGTTATGCCTCAACAGCCTTGGCCCCTGAAACTTCTTTTTGAAATGATGAAAATGTTTTAGAATTAGCTAGTGAGTTGATTGCTTTACCTGTAACTTTACTACAAATCCCTTAGTTTAAAGAGGTAAATTTTATGGCATTTGAATTATAGCCCAATGTTTAAAATTAAAACAAGTGCTCACTTCGGCAGCAAATATACTAAAATTGGAACGATACAGAGAAGATTAGCATGGCCCCTGCGCAAGGAGGACACATAAAAATTAAAACAAAAACTTTGCTCCAAATGCAGGCAGCAGCCCAAACATATTTAAACATTTTTTTTCTTTAGAAAATTAGAAAGCACTTAATTTATTAAGTTTATATTGTTTATTTGAAAGGCAGAGCTACAGGCACAAAGAAATCTTCCATCTGTCAGCACTGTCCCCAGATGTCTACAAGAGCTAGGTCAGGCCAAATCCAAGAGCCAGGAAATCTATCTGCATCTTCCACAGGGGTGACAGGACCCCCAATACTGGGGGCATCATTTGCTGCCCCCAAGATACATTAGCAGAAAGCTTCATTGGTCGTAGGTGGAATTCAAACCAGCCATGCCAGTGTAGATTCAGTGGCCTGATAATTCTATATTGGTAAGAAAAAAAGAGTAGAGGGCCCGGCACGGTGGCGCAAGTGGTTAAAGGTCCTCGCCTTGCACGCCCGGGATCCCATATGGGCGCCGGTTCTAATCCCGGCAGCCCCGCTTCCCTTCCAGCTCCCTGCCTGTGGCCCGGGAAAGCAGTCGAGGACGGCCCAAAGCTTTGGGAACCTGCACCCGCGTGGGAGACCCTGAAGAGGCTCCTGGCTTCGGATCGGCATAGTATCAGCCCGTTGCGCTCACTTGGGGAGTGAATCATCGGACGGAAGATCTTCCTCTCTGTCTCTCCTCTCTGTATATCTGCCTTTCCAATGAAAAAGATAATAAAAATAAATCTTTAAAAAAAAAAAAGAGTAGAAATTGAGACAGAGATAGCAAAGGACCATCAGGATTACTGGGGTGGATGATGCAACTGTAGGCAAGGAGTGCCTCATTGGGGTGAAGAAGAACCATGGCATAAAAGGGTCAGACTTTAAGAGGGACAAGGAAAGGATAGGAAAGACAAAACAACAAACAGGCACTCTAGAGAAAAAGAGAGAGAAATTATAGGGTGCACTGCAAGATAGCTCTCAGATTCTTAGGGAAAATATGTGTGTGTTTCTATATAAATGCCTAGGAATAACAAAAAGTGGTTTACATCTTCATCTTTTGGTAAAATACAGAAGAGGAGGCTCCTTTACAGTACAGGAAAATTATTTAAAATCTCCCTTCTGAGCCCCTGCCTGTGGCACCAGCATCACACATAGGCATCACTTTGGGTCCTGGCTGCTCCACTTCTGATCCAGCTCCCTGCTTATGGTGTGGAAAAGCAGTGGAAGATGGCCTAAGGCCTTGGGCCCTGCATCCACATAGGAGATCCTGAAGAAGCTGTGGTTCAGCACAGCTCAGCCCCAGGCGTTGTGGCCATTTGAGAGTGAAACAGCAGATGAAAGATTGACCTCTTCTCTTTCTCCTCTTCCTCCTCCTCCTTCCTCTCTCTAACTCTGCCTTTCAAATAAAAGTAAAATAAATCTTTTTTTTTTTAAGTCCCCCTTCTCTTTACCATATGCAGAGCAATAGATTCTCAAAGGATTTACTCCTGGGCAGTGTCTGGTCTCACTCTTTCACATTCCCATCCTCTACCCGCTAGTACCCTTATTCCTCACCCACTGCCAGCTCAGAAGGACCACCTTCTGTCAACCCAGACAAGATGATGAACATACCCATTACAGCCCAAAGGCTCCCACCTTGAGCCGCCTTTGTCATCCTTACCTCCTGCTTCTTCCCTAATTTCTCTCACTGTAAAAATGTTTCCACATTTCTAGAATTTCATATAAATAGAATAACATAGTATATAGTCTTTTATACTCTGCTTTCTGTCACCCAATCTAGTGCATTTGAGGTAACTCATATTTTTTCATTCCTTTTTGGTGCTAAACAGTACTCCACTGTATCTGCCCATCATTAGAATGAAGGATCCAGAGAGAAAATGGAATATGACCAACAGCAGACCTTAATCAGATCCCAAGTAGAAATGGGGAATGCCACTGCTCCCTAAAATATAAGTGCAACTTGCACAATGAAAGAATGTGACTGCTGCGACCATGCAACTGAGCAGATAAAATTGTGCTGTTTTGGGTTTCTGTCTCCAGATCTGATTATGTCCCCAGCCACATGGCTGAATGAAGCATCTTGCAGAATTGTGCTACTGGGGATCTTAAAGGAATGATTTCACTGATGGTTTGCTCTGTGTTAAACCCTTGAGGAGTGCCCCAACACTATTTATAAAGGCAAATTGTCTCCTAGCTATTCTAAGCTAGAGCAAATGGGACAGACATCCATTTAATGTTATAATGTTTCGTAAACTGCAAACCATAAATCAGAAGCAAGAATTTTTTTTTTTTTGCCATCAGAAATAACCTGAAAATGTATTTTCTGCTCAGACACAAAATTAACATCTGTGATCACTGATCCCAGAAAAGCCAGTAAAAGGGACTTGGGAACTTGGAGAACCATCAGTGAAACAATTCAATGCGGTTATATATTATGTCATAGTCAGTAACTGCGTGTTCCTTTGTAGGAAGAGATTTGAAGCAGTTTGGGCCCAAGATAAAGCTCATAGAACTAGCTCTGTGACTCCAGCCTCCAATGTCAGTCTTTCCCATGCCAAGCTGACAATTGAAGCTTTCTTTCCATCTCTAATTACTCAGCTATTTTGTATAAGCCTCTCCACTGTCCAGAAGCCTAGGGTGTCCTGGTTGGACCCTAGGGAAAACAGGCTAAAGAATTTGAGGCTTTGAAACGAAAATCTTAGCAGCTCCCACACAACCACCTTCCATCATTATCCTTAGATCCTTGCTACCTCAAAGTGTGAGCTGAAAATTGGTAGCACTCACATCAGATCAGAATTTGTTAGAAGTGAAAATTCCCTGCGTGCCATCCTCTCTGCTGAACTGGAGAGAATTGCGAATTCCCTCCAACCTCTCTAACTGAACTTGAAACTCTGTCCACAAGATCCACAGGTGATTTCTATGCTCACTGTAGATGTTCTTCATCTTCACGTGCACCAGAGTCGCCTGGAGGAGCCTGCTGTGCAGGACTTGATCCTGGTAACACAGGCCAAGACACTGCTCTAATGTCTAGAGCCAGGTGATTGCACGGAGAGGACATGCATCTCTCCCTGCTGTCAGAATGATGGAGAATTTCTACATCTTCCGACTCAGCCCAAGTCGAGAATCAAGGATTGAGACTGTGTCATTTTCTTTTCCCTTGGGCTGTTTTAACATTGCCACCTGTTTCAACAAGCCATGGATGAGAGGTTATAGGGCCTTTGTAACAAAGCCAGAAAAAATGGAATGTGTTTTTCCCACCTGAAAGAAAGGTGGGGGGCGACAATGGGTCCAGTGTGGTAGCCTAGTGGCTAAAGTCCTCGCCTTAAACGAGACGGGATCCCATATGGGCACCAGCGCTAATCCTTGCAGCCTTGCTTCCCATCCAGCTCCCTGCTTAGGGTCTGGAAAAGCAGTGGAGGACAGTCCAAAGCCTTGAGACCCTGCACCCATGTGGGAGACTTGGAAGAAGCTCCTGGCTTCAGATTGTTTTAGCTCCGGCTATTGTGGCCACTTGGGGAATGAATGAGCAGACAGAAGATCTTCCTCTCTCCTCCTCTTTGTATATCTGCCTTTCCAAAAAAAGTAAATAAATCCTTTTTTAAAAAAAAAAAAAGTAGGGAAGCCTGAAATGCTGCAGCTGAGAGCTACAGGCCTGGAAGGTCCCCGCCTGAGAATGGGCTGGGACAGGTTGCTGACCTTGTATTGCCTGTTTTGTGAAGTGTTTTGTGCCGCACTTTTAAGTCTGAAGTTTTACCTTTGAGTCACCTCGTGACTACTCAATGTTTAAGTCTCCCTGTGTCCTGCCAAGCTCAAGAGCCATGTACGTTGGTACAAGCAGAGTTCCCAGACTGCTAATTTCCAATCCTGTCACTGTTGGATTCTACTGTCTTTGTACTACAAAGATAACACCTTAATGCACAGAAAAGAAACTTTTTGGAAGCAAAATTGCTTTCAGACTCCAACATTTACCAAAGAAGGAGATCACAGCCGTTTCTAAGAGCAGAGGCGAATTTTTCCTGGTATGAGGAAAAATTGGTTCTCAACCCCAGGTATCCACTGGTTAGAAAGAGGCCAGCACTGCTTTCACCAAAGAAATTAAATGACAAATAGAAACAGTGATGGCATTGTGACGTGTATTCTGGGGTATGTGTTGCATTAAGCATTTTTGTCCTAACTTTGAACTAATAAACTACTATACTAACTTTCAAGATGTGGAAACTGAGAAAGAGTCATAGTTTTCTGTCAGTTCCATAGGCAGCTGGGTGTCTAAATTTATACTCTCGGTCATAAACAACATGCAACAGGTTACAAACAGTTTAGAATCATGGGAAAAGAGTCAGTCATTATTGTGATTGGGGTTTTCAAGATAAGTATGAGGTAACTTCAAAAAGTTCATGGAAGGGCTGACGTTGTGACATCATAGTGGGTTAAACTGGCACTGGTAATGCTTGCATCCCAAACCCAAGTTTCACTTTCTGATCCAACCTCCTGCTAAGGTACCGAGAAAGGCAACTGAAGATGTGCAAGTGCCGCGAGGTGCGAGGCAGACCACGCCAGACAAGTATGGGATGTATTAAAGGAGTCTTGAGTAACCAAACTTGAAGATGATAGTGCCTACTAGAAATTAGTAAATGAAGTCACCATGGCAATCCAGTCTGCATCAAAACCCTGGGAGGAACAAATGGTCCTATGTCCCAGCTTCCCCAACATTATCCTAAGAGTCATGCAGCGCACAGCCTAGACACGCTTAAAAAGCTGCAGATAGTCACCTTTTCCTGACTTCTCTGTCCACATGCCATCACCTCTCCTGGAACCCTTGAAAGTACACGCGTCAGAAATACAAAGCGTCTTAGTATTCGCATTTTCACTGATTTGCCCAAGCAGTGAACAGAGGGTGAGGCATACAGACACACAGGGCCCATGTTCAGGAGCTACCTGTCCTTGGACAGAAGATCTTCATCTCATTCCTCTTTGTAAATCTGCCTTTCTAATAAAAATAAAGAAAATAAATATTTTTTAAAAGAAATTAATAGAAAAGTAAAATGAAGATATTTATTTTGTACAAAATATTTTTAAATGCATGCATGCTTTTTCCATAATATGCTTTCTTCAAGAGCTTTTTAAAGATCATCTGTATATAGGGGCCTGTATATAGCTGACTATCTACCTATCCATTCATCCTTCTGGGCACTGGAACTTTTTCTATGAAAACGGAAGAAAAAATTTTACACACCCCCCCCGCCTTTTTTTTTTTTTTTTTTGGAGATATAGAGAGGAGGAAAGTCAAAGAGAAAGATCCTCCATCTGCTGATTCACTCCCCAAGTGGCCACAACGGCCGGAACTGAGCTGATCTGAAACAAGGAGACAGAAACTTCTACTGGGTCTCCCATGCAGGTGCGGGGCCCCAAGGCTTTGGGCCGTGCTCTACTGCTTTCCCAGGCCACAGACAGGGAGCTGGATAGAACCAGTACCCATGTGGGTTCCCAGCGTGTGCTTCAGCCGCTAGGCTAATGTGCTGGACCCATAGCTCCCTTCTTGATAAGACATATTACATTGTAGCTTTTCTAGTTGAAAACAGGTGGAAGCTCTGGATCCCTGCCTGCCCATTCCCACAGCTTTCTCACTGCACCCTGTTCAACCCTTATAGGAAATATTTCTACTTCTGTGGCTTCTGATCTCAATATTTCCAATCCCCAAACCACTCCCCGACCTCCTCCTACCTGGGTTAGCTGAAGATTTTTTCCAGTGTCAGTCATGGAGAACAGGAATAAAGCACAGGAATGTCCTGAAGGGGAGTGGCTCTCGGCACACAAAATATGTGAGTGACAAGCTGCAGTAAAATGAACATTGTGGAGCACCTAAAATTACAGCTGGTTAAAGGCAGCAGGAACAGGAGGTGTTTATAAAGTATTGTAAGAGAGAATTCAGGTAGAGTGTTAAATCCAGATACCTGTCTCTTTATGTGTCTATTCACCTAAAGATACAGTCCAGCTTGGTCTTGTGTGTAGTTGTAAACATATGAAATAGACTTTAATGAAGTGGTATTCATTTAATCTGAGCCACTAATGGGCTCAGTCTATGTTGGGGACATGAGCACAGTGTTAACCCAAGCATTAGTTTATGACAAGTCCACACCATTTTTAATCCTTGAAAGCCACTTGAGGTCACCAGGTCTGAGGATTGTTCCATAACAAATCACAATATTCTCACAGGGGATGCCTTAAGTAGATCTTTTCAGGGACTCAAGTGGCATGCAACTTGCCATGCTATACCACCCAAAAGGCCAGTGGCTGTCACTCGGTCAGTGAGCTGGCTGGACCACTCAAGGTTGGCTCCAAAGAGGGAACACAGCTAGACTCACGCTCTCTATGGCTCTGAACTCTGGAGTGGCAGAAACTCAAGAGGCCATGTTTGTTCCTTTTGTGTGGTCCATTAAATCTGACTGATTTGGCCCATGGGAGAAGAATGAGCAATCTCATCATTAAAAGGACATTAACCTTTAAATTATTCACACACATTCTGGCAGATTTTCTTCAGATACTTTTCCTTTGAAAAAAAAATTTTTTTGGCGTAACTGAATTTATAATATAGGTTCTATTTTGTGTATGGCTTCTACCTACCTGTGCTACGAGAATTTTCCCATGATTTGGGCCTAATGCAGTGGCTCAGTGGCTAAATCCTTGCCTTTCAACCGCTGGAATACCATATGGGTACTAGTTCATGTCCTGGCTGATTAACTGCCCATCTAGCTCTCTGCTCGTAGCCTAGAAAAGCAGTTGAGGACAACCTGGGACCCTGCACCTGTGTGGGAGACCCAAAAGAAGCTCCTTGGCTTCAGATCGGCTCAGCTCCAGTCATTGGGACCACCTGGGGAGTGAACCAGTGGATGAAAGATCTTTCTCTCTGTTTCTCCTCTATAAATCTGACTTTCCAATAAAAATAAATCCTTAAAAAGGGAGATATCTTTGAAAAGACAGATTTAGACCTGATATTTTGCTGCTTTTTTTTGTTTGTTACACAGTTCCATATGTATTGAAGAGCTGTGCAGAATTTATTGAGACCCATGGGATTGTGGATGGAATCTATCGGCTTTCCGGGGTCACCTCAAACATACAACGGCTAAGGTAAGCGCAAAGGATAATGACACAACAGTTCTCACATGATCCTCCTCTAGCCGGTCGTTTGTCTGCAGGTGTTGGGAGTATTAAAACCCTGAAGAGATAAAAAGAATGATGACAGAGCTGGGATCAGAGGCCATCTGTGCTTAATCTAATCACAAAGCTTTCCAGCCTGATGAAGTTCTTTCAAATAAAAGCTCCTGAGGGCTTTCAATCTCTTGTCTTGAGCCAGATTTATCCTCCTTAGGTAGATTTAACGCAAGTGATTTAAGTTACAAATCAGAAAAACTTGGAAATTAGAAAACCCGAAAGGCAGATTGAATCTTGGTTAAGTGTTCAGAAGTTCAAGAATGTTGTCACATTTGATGTTTCATGTGATTAGAAAACAGAAGTGTGTTTATGCAATTCTCTAGTTGATACTTTGTAATACGTAATTTATGTTGACATTTAAAACATGGATGAATTCTTTTCAGCTTTACAGATTCATCCTAAAAATTTGCAAGAAATTCTATCAAATTAAGAAGCCAAAAACTATGGGCCAGCATTGTGGCATAACATGTTAAGCAATGGCCTATGATACTGTCATCCTACATAGACACAATTTGATTCCCAGCTGCTCCACTTCCTATTCAGCTCCCTGCCAATGTGCCTGGAAAGGCAGTAGAAGACCCAACTACTTGGGCCCCTGCAATGCACATGGGGAATCTGAAGATGCTCCTGACTTCAACCAGGCCTAGCCCTGGCTGTTGTGGCCATTTGGGAAATGACCAAGAATGCAAGATCTTTGTTTCTCCCTTTCTTCCTGTAACTACCTTTCAAATCAATAACCTATGGAACTGTACCATGGAAGAGTAAAATAGAGAAATGAATTTAAAAGAAAAAAGGGAAAAAAGGCAAAAATGTTTATACAATTCAAAGATAATATGTGCTTTATATATGATACCATATTCTTAAAGTACACATAATATTATAGGTGCATAGTATTTATAATTTACTATGACTAAAATAATAGGTCTAGATATTTTGATTGCTATTCTTTTTTTTTTTTTTTAAGATTTATTTCAGGACTGGTGCTATGGCTAATCCTCCACACTGTGATGCCAGCATCCCATATGGGTGCCAGTTCATGTCCTGGCTGCTCCACTGCTGATCCAGCTCTCTGCTTATCACTTGAGAAAGCAGCAAAGGATGGCACAAGGCCTTGGACCCTGTGCTCAGGAGGGAGATACACAAGAAGCTCCAGTGGCTTGAACCAGTGAATGGAAGGTCTTTCCTTCTCTCTGTAAATCTGCCCTTCAAATACTAAAAATCTTTTCAAAGATTTATTTATTTCAAATGCATAGTTACAGAGAGAAGAGATAGAGAAAGAGAGAGCTTTCATTTGCTGGTTCACTCTACAAATGGCCACAGTGGCAAGGGCGATGTCTGGCTAAAACCAGAAGCCATAAACTTCATCTGGGTCTCTCGTATGAATGTATGAGCACAAGCACTTCAGGGAATCTTCCACTGCTGTTTCAGGCTGTTAGCAGGGAGCTGGATGGGAACAGCCTTGACTCAAGCCGGCATTCATAGGAATGCTGACTTCACAGGTGCTGCTTAACCTACTAACTCACAGCATTCCATTGTCAACCCTAATGTATTACTTTTTATACACACACACAATGTTTCTTAGTTATAAATATTCACTTTCACTTTTAAAGAGTAAAAAAGTTTGTTTTGTGAGTAAAATATACTGGAATGTGCAAAGCAGTTCAGCTTTCTCCTTCACCCTATTTAGTTTCTGCCACAAATTTCAATTGTAATTAAATTATACCAGAGTAATAAAACTTTCCTTTTACTCCTAGAGATTGATGGTTATTTTTAACAAATTGGCTTAATGCAGCAATGGATTTTAATGAATCCACATCTGTATATGATCTCACTAACTTACTAGTATACCAATTTTTTTAATATGAGCAGAATTTTTTTTTCTTAAAAAAAAAAACTTTTTATTTAAACTGAGGAGTTACAGACAGAAGCAAGATGAAGCGATCTCCCATCCATGGCTTCTCTCCCTGAATGGCCACAAGGGCCAGAGGTGGGCTTATCTGAAGCTGGACAGCCAGGAGTTTTGTCTAGGTCTCCCATGTGCTTATAGGGGCCCAAGTACTTAGGCTGTCCTCTGCTACTTTTCCAGGATATTAGCAGGGAGCCGTAGTGGAAGTAGAGCATCCAGGACTCAAACCAACATCCACATGGGATTCACAGGTGGAGGCTTAGCATGCATGCCATGGTGCAAGCTGCATCAAATAACATCTTAATGTATCACTCTTCACTGTAAAGTGTAACAGTAACTGGTATCCTATGAAGATATTTAGATAATGACCAATTCTTTTTCATTTATGGACTGACTTTAGTTTACAAGTGAACTTCTGACTAAATAAATGAGTAAGTTCTGGATTGTTTTTTTGCCAACCTCTTTAAAAAAAAGGACACACACACACACACGCCAATGGATTTATAATACCATGACCTGGTTCTCTTTTTTTAAGGTACTGCTCAGTTTCTTTCATATGTGACAGTGTCAGGGATTTCCCTATCCTTTATTAAAGCTGCAAAACTGACATGCACAAGAATGGACAGAGCAAGCTGTTTTCAAAGTGCTTATTGTACCTCTTGGCCAACTGAATACGCTTGAAAAAAAAAAACTAACTTATTTTCTAAATTATATTCTATAAATATTCCATAAAGCTCATAGTTGTCACTTTATAACATATTTTAACTTATATGTACACATTATTTGGGAAAGTATGTTTGTTTAAGAGATTTTGTGATTAGAAGTTATGCCAAGAATCAGATGGTATTGCCAGATTTCCCAGTGCAGATTGTTTAAGAAGCTATTTACAGACCCGACATTATGGCTCAATTGGCTAATCCTCCCTTTGGAAGCAGTGGGATTCTATATAGGCACCAGTTTGTGTCCCAGCTGCTCCTCTTCCCATCCAGCTCCCACTTTATGGCATGGGAAAGCAGTGGAGGATGGCCCAAAACCTTAGGACCATGAATCCATGTAGGAGACTAGGATGAAGCTCCTGGCTCCTGGCTCCTGGCTTCAGATCATCTTGGCTCCAGATATTGAGGCCATTCCGGCTGATGGAAGATCTTTCTCTCTGTCTCTCCTCTCTGTATGTCTGCCTTTCCAATAAAAATAAATTTTTAAAAAGGTTTTTGCATTTTTTACTATTTGTTAAATTATTTTTAATTTTGTTTATTTATTTTTTGAATTTTATTTCCAAGTAGCTGCAGCAGCCAAAGCTAGGTGACAGGAGCTTCTTCTAAATATCCCATGTGGGTGCAGGATCCCAAGGCTTTGGGCAATGCTCTACTACCTTCCCAGGCCACAAACAGGAAGTAGAGCATCTGGGACATGAACCAATACCCTTATGGAATCCTGGTGCATGCAAGGCAATGATTTAGCCTCTGGGCTACCATTGCAGGCCCCAAAATAATATTTTTTTAAAAAATATTTGCAAGCTCATCTGCCCATCAGCAGCCTAGAGATTCCACTGAACACCAAAGAGATACACGATTACAGTTCTCCAACCCTGGGTTTGAGTTTCCAGGTAGAACAAGTTTGTTGATATGAATGTATGGATGCAACTGATACCAATCTGAAACAGCCTGGTTTGGATCTCTTCTGTAAGAAGCAAAAGTTCATTTCAAGCAATATTTTGGAAAAACTGAAATTTCAGGAAGTCTTTTTGACAACCTTTTTTTTCTTTTCATATTTCTCTGATGTTCATAACCGATTTTCAGACATAATGCCATGGGATATCCATTCATAGATGAGCGTTTATATCTTCCTAATCATACCAGATTTTGCAAGGGAAGACTCAAACCCAAAAGTGGAAGTCTTCCCATGGCTGCCTTGAGCCTGGAGTAGAATCAAGGTTAAAAACATGGTCACATGAGCATTTTAGGGTCTTTTGTACCCCTGAGCAGCCAAAGCAGCTGCTGACATGGAACACATGCTCCCTGGGATTGTTATGTCTCTGTCTGTGTTGTTTCAGGCAAGAGTTTGGTTCAGATCAATGTCCAGATCTGACAAGGGAAGTGTACCTCCAAGACATTCACTGTGTGGGCTCACTCTGCAAGCTCTACTTTAGAGAGCTGCCCAACCCCCTCCTGACCTACGAGCTCTATGAGAAATTCACGGTGAGTGTCTGTATTCCCACCATGGTGATGGGTGGGATGCGTGGATGGGACAAGGGGAGCTTCAGCACTGAAATAACAATAATAATGTTCAGCAGATGGTTAATATTATTTTAGCATGGTAATGGAAGTAAGATGGTATGGTGTGTAGAGTAGGGTAGTGGAGCTGCTTGCAGAGTTTTCTTTCTTAAGTTTTCAGAATCACATTATTTGTTTTAAGAGCTGGCTTAAATTATCTTCATGTTTATTTGAATGAATGTTCCTCATTGTGCAGGGAGGAGACTGGGAAACAGAAGCAGAGTGCCTAGCCCAAGGTCACACGGTAGAGACAAGACAGGAACTTGAGCTGCTAGTTCACGTTTATCAGGCAATTCCTTCTATATTTCTTTTGGGGAAAGCTGGGATGTGTAGATAGAGACAAGAGAGAAAAATAAAGTCAACAGAGCGGTTATAAAACTGAGAAAGAATCTGAGAGATGCAATTTAGAAGAAATGTAGCAAGACTAGTGAGTTTGGTTGGAGGGGAGGTTGGATATACAGAGCACCTTAATCACACCTTATTTGTCACCTTTTAGAGCACCCACAAGAAAACAAAACTGCAAATCAATGCTTAATGCATGTCAGCATCAATACCAATAAATATAGTACTTGAATATTCGGTTGCATGAATGGAGGTGTAGACTAGGCAGAGTTGGGTTGAAGCGAAGGTGAAGTTTGGCCAGCAAAAGAAGGATGAGGAAGAGGAGAGGAGATGCTGGGATGATTGACACTTTTTTTTTTTACTTTATTTAAAATATGTGCAGATCATATGTTTGGGAATGGAGTGGGTTGGGAGAAGAAAGGCCCCAGAGAGGGAAAGGTTTCTGTCTCCCATTCTCAACACTTTGTAAACATTGCAGTAATAATTTTTGCAAGTGTCTCTTTATATTGTGTATCTTTGGGAAAGGCACTGAAATTACATTAGTTGAATAAAGAATTCTTATGTTAAAATGTTACTATATGTTGCCAAACTGTCTTCCAGGGAAAATGGAATTCCCTTTTCCCTGCCCCCTTAACAATACTGGGTATTTTCAACTCGTTAAACCATTTGCCAATCTGAATCAACCAAAACCAGTATTTTTGTTCTAGTTGTGCTAAGACTTGATGTTTTCTATGTTTGTTGTCAGTACAGCAGTATTATCTCCGAATATGATAGATTAGAATATCATGCTAATGAACTGGATGAGATAAATGCCTTTCAAATAATACCTCATCTGTTACTGGGGGGAGACGGGCATTCTTAGGTAGAAACTTCAGAAAGAAGAGTTTCTCCTTAAATCTCTTCCACAGACCCCGAAGTCCATATTTATCTTTCCCCATTCCTATTTCAGGGTATTGCTAAGCATTTTCTTGTCTTACAGCAACTGAAAAATGCCAAGGCATGATTTCTTCAACTTATCAAAATTTGAAAGAAATTTAACAGGTTTCTTTGATTACAGTAGTAAATATGATGACATAAGAAAACTTTAAGAACATGGAAATAGTTCTGCTACATTGTCACAATAATTCATTTAAACCTACTTGTGCAGCAAAAGTGCAATGGAATGAGAAAATGGGAAAAATATTAATTGTATAATGATGATTATAATAAATATCATATTGTTTAATCTCTGATAAGCACATGATAAGTATTATTTCAATTAATGATCAGAATAACCCTGAAGTAGTTTTGTCTCTTATACGATAAATTCAGACTCAAAGAGAATCTTGCCAGGGATTGGAGGATGAGACAATAAATGCAGGTAAAGATTTAAAATTCTGTCTCATGATTCTCACACTGCTTAGAAATAGAGATAACACTTAAATAGGCTCAAGTATTAAATAACTTAATTTGAAACGTTTAAGAAAATAACTCTAAAAACTTAGCAGAAACAGTTCCAGAAACAGTGTAGGACAAAATAGTTATAGAAGGGAGAAATCAAGTTACATATCCTTACCATTCACGAAATTCCATGGTACAGAAGAGTTTTCTAGCAGAAAAAGCAATAGCAAGAATCACAAAGGAAAAATCTAATGAATTGAATAATAGATAAATTATGTTCTATATTAAAATACATAATTTAGTTAATGGCAAATGAATAACTATAAAACCTATAATAAAATAATATATAATATGATCTTATTAATAAACATAAAATAATCACATAATATTCCCATGAATAAATGGGAAATGAACTATAATACATAATTCATAGAAAATTATTTTTAAAATTATCAGTTATTTATGTATGATCTTTGTGGATTTTAAAACGTTAATGCTTCTATTTCATGCTGGCAAGCCTGTCTTAAGACTAATTTTCTTTTCTTTTTTTTAAGATTTTGTTTATTTTGGGGCCCTCCGCAGTAGTGTAACAGTTAAGCTCCTCGCCTTTAATGCGTGCACTGGGATCCCATATCGGCACTGGTTCTAATCTCAGCAGCTCCACTTCCCATCCAGCTCCCTGCTTGTGGCCTGGGAAAGCAGGTGAGGAAGGCCCAAAGCCTTGGGACCCTGCACCCACATGGGAGACCTGGAAGAGGCTCCTGGCTTCAGATTGGCTAAGCAGTTGCGGTCACTTGGGGAGTGAACCATCAGACGGAAGATCTTCCTTTCTGTCTCTTCTTCTCTCTGTATATCTGCCTGTACAGAGAGAAGGAGAGACAGAGAGAAACATCTTCCACTCCCAAGTGACTGCAGTAGCCAAAGTTGAGCCGATCAGAAGCCATGAGCCAGGAGCTTCTTCTGGGTCTCCTACATGGGTGCAGGGTCCCAAGGTCTTGAACCATTCTCTACTGCTTCCCAGGCCACAAGCAGGGAGCTGGAAGGGAAGTGGAGCTGCCGGGACATGAACTAGCACCCATATGGGATCCAGCATATACAAGGTGAGGACATTAACCACAAGGCTACCACGCCAGGTCCAACTGACTAGTTTTCCACTGAAGGTGTAAATCACCTGAATATCCTAGAAAATCATTTAAAATTATTGTGTGGGTTCTAAACTGCTTATTTTCTTCTCCTTTTACATTGCAGAGAGAAAGACAGAACTCCTGTACTTGCTAATCCACTCTTTATTTATTCCCAAGGGCCAGTGGTGGGCTGGCCCAGAGCCTGAAGCCAGCAGTACAATCCAGGTCTCCCACGACAGTGGCAGAAACCAAGTATTTGAGCCATTACAGCCGCCTCCTGAAGTCTGTATTGAGTAGGAAGCTGTAGTCAGGAGCCAAACCAGCGATTGTAATCTAGGTACTCCTAGGAGAATGTGACCATCTTAACCATGGGCTAGATGCCTACTCCCTAGCTCATGCTCCTTCATCTATTAATTCTACATCTGGGACTCTGTTCTGACATGGCCCATTCTGTGCTCTAACCATGCAGCAGGTACTACCATCTAGCCTACGCAGCCTTGCCCAATCCCATCTTTTATGTTTGCCAATGGGATGCAGGTGATGCCATTTACTCAAGTTTGGGTCCCACATTAGTGGGTTCCATGACCTGACCCAAACACACCATCTAATTTTCCCCTTTCTAAACCACTTTGTCTCAGCTCCCTCACCTACCTACTAACACAGTGGCCTGGTCCATGGAAGCTCCCCAAAGTCACTCCTCCTCTGTCAAGCATTGCCTCAACTGCTCCCACTCTAATATGTCCCCAGACCCCTTTCCATGGGCAATATGCAGCCCCTCCTCCCCAGCTTGGCGGCCAGAGTTGCATGTCCAAGCTCAGCATTTGCCACTTTCCCTTCATATCTTTAAAAAAAAAAAAAAAAAAAAGCATTGGGCCCAGTGCTAAAGGCTGAAGTCCTTTCCTTGAACGCACCAGGATCCCATATGGGCACTGGTTCTAATCCCGGCGGCTCCACTTCCCATCCAGCTCCCTGCCTGTGGCCTGGGAAAGCGGTCGAGGACGGCCCAAAGCCTTGGGATCCTGCACCCGTGTGGGAGTCCTAGAAGTTCCTGGCTCCTGGCTTCGGATCAGCACAGCACCGGCCGTTGTGGTAACTTGGAGAGTGAATCATCGGACAGAAGATCTTCTCTGTCTCTCCTCCTCTCTGTATATCTGACTTTGTAATAAAAATAAATAAATCTTAAAAAAAATAAGTAGACAGCTATGCTGGCATACTGGTGTAGTTAACATAGATTTGGCATTAACCAGGGCTAGAGTGTCTGCTAGCTATTGCTGCTTTTCTCCCAGCAGTATAATACTTGCCTAGCTAGGAGACAACTAGGCAAATGCCTACAGTTGGGGAAATACACATTTCTTGCCCTTCCCAACTTCTATTGTCTGGTGGCATTCCTTGACTTGTGGTCACACCATTCCTATCACTGCCTCTGTGGCCATATTGCTGCTTCCTGTTCCTGTTGTGTGAAATCTCCCTTTGCTGCCCTCTTAGCAGGCCATCTGTGATTGCATTTAGAGCTCATATAGATAATTCAGGATCATCTACACTCAGGATTCTTCACTTGGGGGCAAGTTTTGACCAAGGTAACTGGTCTGATCTCCATCCCCAGCTCATTCCAGCTGCCTGCTGATGAAAAGCTTCAGAGGCAGCTCTGATGGTTCAAGCAGCAGATTCCCACTCCCCGGGAGGGAGACCTGGTTGTTCTGTGCCTCCTCTTTCAGTCCCTTGGTTTTTGTAGGAGTCTTCTTTCCCTCCTCCTTCTCCTTTCCCATTCTTTCTTCCTCTCAAATAAATAAACAAAAAAGCAAAAGGAAAACGACCTTTCAATAATATCTGCAAAGATTCTTTCCAAGTAGGGTTCCATTTTCAGACTGCAAAAATTAGGTCCTGTGTTTGAGACTAATTATTCAGTCTGTTAAATTACATTTTATTTTTAATCACGGAAAATTCATTTTAGAAAAAATCTGAATTTTGTTCAGCTGATCCAGCTAGAAAATATACCTACCCATAACAGGGCATAGTTTCTGGGTTGAGATAATAAGGAAAGACAGTTTGGAAAAGTGTGACTTACTGATTTCATCGTGA